AGAATTTTTAAAAACAGATTGACCACTTTCTCGAATAGTTTCAATTCAGGAAGGAACAGCAACCTATGTCAGCGCTGAATACTTCAAAAAACTATCTATAATAACTACTATTAAGCTAACTAAACAACCAATATACTATCAGTTGGCTGCCTTTTCGTGCAGAAGACGTCTTTTCATCAAAGAAACTCTGAGAGAACGACGAACATTCTGAATGCGCTTGTTACAGGTTTAATACTTTTGATTTATGTGAAAAGACTAAATCCAATCAACATCGGCCGCTTTTAAGGATATATAAAGTGTCGCAGGACAAAAAAGCTCACTACTTGATTGTTAATAAGTTTTCTAAATCTTTTCTAGCCCGTAAATCCATATTGAAAAGCCAGCATGAACCTGGACTCAAAAAAAGAATTCTATACCTTTGGCGATTACTGTGCTTCAAGGAGTAATGTTTATTGCGACCTAGCGTAATATTGGCACAAAACTTATGGTACTTTATTGTTATCGCAATTGAGCTCACCGTACTAAATAATCTCATCAAATAAGTCTCTAGCGCTGCAGGGTCACCTTTGTCCCTCTTCCCACCTTAAAGGCAGTGTCCACGCAAATTTCGTATTCGAGGTTTTTTTTTTCAAATTTTCTAGAGCATTTCGCTTGCATACTCGATTTGCTCGAACCATTCGAATATTTTATTCGAACACGGATATTCGGTCTCAACTATAGATGCGGACGGAAAGGGGATATTGACCCAAACGTTTCTCGCCCACAATCGCGTTTCATTCTCAAATTTAAAGATTAGATCTGTTAGAGGATCCACTACTACAATCTATTAAAGATTCAACTGTTCAATTCTACAGCAATGAAAAAAGTTACAAGATTGCTTACAAGTGAAACTCTAAGTTTGAAGTAATCCTTTAATTTGAACCGTCAAGAGTTGGAAAGACAAGAATATAGAAGCTAATAAAGACTAATTTTCTTCCGAACACCCTGTATATGTTATCAGATTCTATATGAGAAGTTTCTTACGGTGTTTAACTGCTTTGAAAAGAAACAGAAAAAGTTAACCTATTTT